AGTAGGTAGTGCCACCCACACTTGGACTGGGAGCATCGGCCAGTCGATCTCCCGGGGGAACTAGAGCCGGCTCTTGAACACTTCACCAAGCTACCCCGCTTGTCGGTCCGTATTCACTCTAGTCTTGGACTTCCCAGCGGTCAGTTCATCACCCAACACTGGGTCTGGCCTTCCTGGGCCAAACTGGCCTTTCCTGGCCAAACTGGCTCCACTGCAGTCCTCCCCCTTACTATACTTTTGGAGCTCACCAAACCCCCCAGGGTCTGGGAGACGAACACTTTGAGCTTTCACACTCTCAGACTCGAACTCAGATTCGGACTCGGACTCGGACTTGGACTAGGACTCGAACTAGGACTCGGACTCGGACTTGGACTCGGACTCGGACTTGGACTCGGACTCAGACTCGGACTCGGGCTCGGTCTCGGCCTTGGCCTCGGTCTCGGTCTCGGTCTCGGTCTCAGTCTCGGTCCCGGTCTCGGTCCCGGTCTCGATCTCAACCTCGGACTCCATCTCAGGTCCATCTCGGACTCCATCTCGGACTCCGTCTCGGTCCATCTTGGACTCCATCTCGGACTCCAACTCGGGTCCATCTCGGACACTTCCACGTGTCATGTGTTGGTCCTTTTGGGTCCCTTTTTGGAGCCTCGCTTATTGCTCGCTTCGTGCTTGTTCCCCAAGCCCTTTGTTGGGAGTTCCACTCCCGCTCTCGACCTTTCAAGTCGGAGCTCTTAGTCCAAACGTGTTATGCTCGTTTGGCTTTCGCTTCGGCCACTACCACGTGGCACCCTTCCGGCTCCACTTTGGGGCCTAGGGATTTTGTGTCTCACAACTCCACCACCCATAGACAAAATTTGATGTCCTTATCGAATAGCAAACCCTTTTATAAAGTAACACCCGCAGGTATTACCATTTCCATCCTTGGCACCCAGCCAATATTGGTCTATGGTTTGACCCCGAAGGCTCACCATGCCTTGTCCATCCTCTAAGGAGCATAGTCTCTCCAACATAGAGACTCACTCGACCACCTAGGGTGGTTTGCTCTTTTTTATTGGTTCAATTCTCGCTAAACCCTTTAGAGACACCCTCTCTAACTCAATTCCACTCATTCTTGAGTAGTCTCAGATTCCTTTGACATAACCTCTACACTTTGGAGCTTTTAATTTTGACTTCTCCGAGTCAATTTCCTAGGTGTCTCCGACACCTTACGTTGCATATGGTGCAACTCCACTTCCCTATCCTAGGAAGTTCTTTACTTGAGGGTACCATCATCCTCTCTTTGATATTGTGCCACCTTTAGCACTAAGTTCCAGTTATCATAATTGGTGCTAGGGCTGCCCACAGCCCTATTATTTGACTACCTTACCGCTCCCCCCTTTGGAACATCCACTTTCGCCAAATCGGAGTGGTTGGGAATCCATCGTTGGGGAAACATTGCCTTTCCCACAATCCGGTAGCACCCAACACATTAGTGTTCTCGGCCATTAGTGTTCTCGGCCTAACTTTGCCATTTGGATTCTTTCTCATGATTCCCATGGCTCTTTTCTTAGCCACTAGTCTTTTGCTCCTATCCTTGATTGTTGCACCTAGCAACATAGGATCGCTACCTCCATTTTTGAGGTTTCCTTTCAATTCCAAGCAAACATTTTGCCTTGCTAGGTCTAGAGGGTGTTCACCCCTAGTACGTCTCTTTAACATTTTCTACTGTGGGCTCTATCCACGGCCCAACTTTTGAGACCCTCCCTTGGATCTCTTATAAAGACTACTATCCTCGGAGTTGCTATGCCATAGCATTGACATAGCTCATTTCCCTTAGGTGTTCTTCACACTTGGTCCCCTTGACCAAGCCACACCATTACCAATAGTTCAAATCAACACTTTGAACTAGAAATCATATTCCTTAACCCAAACAAAGACTTTGTCCTTGTTTAGCCACAAGATCAGTTGGTGATCTCATCTTGACCCCTTAACAGGTCTACTAATACGAACTAAGTCTTCCAACATTGTTGACTATGACCCCGGGGGCATCCCCCACACTTGGTGGTGCGCCCAAGCCAGCCTTTCCGGCCAAGGATCCATAGCAATTGAGACTGGGTGTCCCCATCTCATTCACCACGTCCTTGGTGCCCTTTGCACCAAAGTGTTCAAGTTAGATATGCCAAGCTTTCACTCTAAGCAATCTAACCGTGCATCACGACTCCGAGGCATCCCTCGCTTGGCAGTGTGCCCAAACCAGTCTCCTCACTGAGAGTCCATGACCACCAAAATATGAGTGTCCTCATATTCCAAACCATCACCATGCCCTAGTGATTTGGGACTCGAACCCAAGCACTAGAGGGTCGGGACTCGAACCCAACCTCCGTATATACATCTACGGACGGCACCACTTTAGATGCCTGGCCTGACTCCCCACGCCGATGCACC